CAAATCCCGCAATAGGTCTCCCTTTTCAAGGGACACAAAGCGAATTTACAAGTGGAAAACATACTACTCGCATGCCTCCCCATCAGTAGTCTCACCTTTGCACCCGTAGACAACTTAAAACGCTTCCCATGAAATAAACTGTTAAGAGGTTTAGACGTAAGACACTATTCACAAGGTTGCTGAAAAGAGAGATGCAGCCGGCTTGCAGATGAGACTCTCATCAAAACCAAATTGTCGAAATCTGTTCAGACGCTCTCATTGTAGATGGTCTGAGGCTACAGTTTCTAGTTAGAAAAAAAGCATAATACGTCTGCACGTTTTCATGTACTTTTCATGTAATTTTTATAGTTTCATATGCTGAAAATCCGTCTGGAGCTTCAGAGCTGGCTTGAAGAGTTTATCCTGGAGAAGTCCGCTGGATGATTCAGACAACCTGCAGTTCAAGAATACGTAGGAATACGCGAGAAACCGATCAGTAACTTGCAGTTCTACCAGATATTGTGATCAATGTCCCAGGTCGTGCCTTAGTGTTGGACGCTGGCGACAGAAATACGCATAGAGAGAAAGGGGACACCATCGTCTGGTATCCCATCAAATGATAGAAAGAACTCAGGTAAAAGAGATCGGGACAGCGCAAAGTGAGTATAAGTAAGCCATGCACCCCGAAGGGGGCACGAGGATTGGGATACTGCCAGGTTTCCCAAGCCTAGACAGAGGAAGTCGAGAGGCAGAGGCCGGGTTCGAACCACGGACTTTCCGGTTAGTAAATTCGCGCTCTACCCACCTGAGCCATTTCGCCTACCGCTTCACTTCAATTCAGTACACCGGAATGCAATTCGTATATCTCTCCTGTTTCACCAGTCGAGGACAAACTGTCCGGCACAGGTCCCGATAGCAGTCAAGGTCATTCACTCAGCTACCCAAGCTATCGTGAAGTCTGTTCAAATTTAACATCGATTACCTAGACCCTTCATAGACGACTGAGTGACGTTCGGAACTCATGCTCCAAGGTTCACAAAATCTTGATAGGCAATAGTTTGTCCGCTACCATGGACTGCCCACATCCAACGTGCAGACGTAGTGTTCCGCTGACCTTGAGTGCGTAGTGCACTATGTATGTCAGTCACCTATACTTCAGAGTAAAACCGAAAGAACTTAGCATATGCCTAGTGTCAGTTAGGCTTATGAATGTGGGTCAATCGGCGAATGTTCTGGGTAAGGTGAACTATTCAATTCAGGTGCCTTGAATTAATTGGTGGGAAGGAGCGTGATTGACTTTTGTTTTCGAAAGTGTTTCGGATACAACCTTGATCTCCAGATACCGATTGTAACTGGTGCGACGGTGGATAATACTGATGGGACATGTGAGTAGCATGTTTCTCTGGTCAATCCACCATGTGTCTCTGGAAAAGTGAGATCTATTACGGAATTTGTGGAGTCGCTTTGTAGCACTTGAGCAACAGTCAATGAATATCCAGAAAAGTTCAGGAAGACGCGTTCAAGAAGATGGATATTCAATGTTCGTAAACAAGATGCATATGAGATTTTTGCTTCCTTCCACTGGTAGTTCAGATTGTGGGATAATATAGAATGCTTATTCAAATGAACAGCCTATGGGGGGGGGGAACTCACTGCGAATTCGACGGGGAAAACTGTAGGGTGTTATCAGATCAGCCTTTGTCCTCATCAGTCTGGGTGATGAATGATCATTCTCCCGTACTATGAGAGTACCTTTCCTACCTATACTTGTTTTGGATATCCCACCATATCTACTACTTCTTGGGTGGCGGATTCTCAGATAAATGCGTGGCACACTGGCTCCCTATGTTTATCCCGCATGACACCACGACGTTCAGAAAAATGCTTGACCTTACAAAACGGTGTAGCTTCTACCTCTCCACACTAGCCAGACAGATCAACAGGTCCCTGGTAGCCACACCAGTGGCGACGGGGATGGCTCTGCAGATTGGATTCAGCACTATTGAGAGTGGTAGCGGCGTCAACCTTGGCGGCAGAACAGCACCAACAGCTATTGGTCGGACTAAGAAAAGGGTTTTGGAACAAGTCCACGCGTGGAAACCCCTTCTTATCGTATTTCGAAGCTAGTGATCCGAGGTTTTTAGCACAAAGCTGAGAACTAAACTAGAGGATGGGCTTAGTTAACATAAACCTAGCCCTTCGGATAACAAAGAACCGGATCAACGAGACAGATTCGGATATGGAGACCGAAGTTTGCTCTTTACGTCTTCATTTTTGAGACGTATGTGCAGATTATCAGGATGGAGGCCAGCAGCGCTATGCAAGGTTCGAACCCGGTTGATCGAACTGCTAGTTCACAATGTATCACCCAACGCTCTCCTGCAGACCAGTCGGTCGACAAGCTTTAGGTCTCACAGTACTCTAATCTACAGGCTTCTAAGCACTAAGGGACATCGATATACGTGTTTATCCTACCATACTGTCATACAAATGATTCACTGTTGGGAGGTATTTGGAATACCTGTGGAACTGATTGAAGACTTCACTCAGTAGGCTTGATAGTCTCCAATCCGTTAAAGAATACGTTTGCCGAAAGTTGACTGTACAGATGTAGAGACCGACTGAAGCACCTAGACACATGCGAACTACTCAAATGAATCCCAACGTAATCTCTCTCTCATTTATGGTGTTCAACTGAATGCGCCCAACAAAGGCCGCCTCACGTGGTACCGTAGCGTTCGAGATGTCGCAGTATACTTTCTTCAAGTAACCACTAATAAGGTTGCTCTCGAAGAGTGTACAGCAACACAGTCAGTAGTGTTCCCTCAAGAAAAGACTTAGACACACGCCTGGACGCACAGAACCCAGATACATTTATTCTGATATTCATTTCCCCAGGTTCATCCGGTGTGACACGTAGCTCACACCGAACGTGTGGGTGGTTGGCCTTACCTGTAATGCAATGTTGTAATATTCGTCTGTTCTGTTGCCTCTTACTTTGTCAAGGTCGTTCATAAGTGTCGGTCGTGTCTTTTCTCTCGGGACCAGGCCTACAGTTAGGCAGCACAGGACGCCATTCCTCTTGGAACGGAGGTTTGAGGTGGACCACCATTCAGAGTAAGAACCAGCAGGCTTGAGGGTTTTAGCCATGAGTCCAAGATACTGCTTCGTGATTGTTAGTTACACTAGTACGATGATTAGCTAGCCCAAAAACGGGCTGTCCAATCACCTTAACTGTTTACCACTCAACTGGCGTAGCGTTTCATCGTTTCCGGTTGGCACTGTCTAGACGCATTCTCCCGGATTCCGTCAATGACATATTTAACCTCAATGTTAACTCGTGGGCAATAGACGAAACACGCTCATTCGCAAATTTATTGGAAGGGCTCATCTGAATCCCCGCTGAATCTCTCGTTTACGGAGGTGAGATTGACCAAGTGATTAGATCGCGAATTTACTGACCGGAAAGTCCGTGGTTCGAATCCAACCTCTGCATCTCGACTTCCCCTGTCTGGGCTTGGGCCAACTGGCAGTATCCCAGCCCTCCTGCTTCCTTCGTGTAGCATGGCAGTTAGGCACCGAAAGAGTGTTACAGCTGAGCGTTTTTTTGTTTTTGATACCACTGATTTGTACTACAGTCTGTGGTGACGTTACTCACCGTGGTAGCCTAGCAAACGCCCTAATGTCTCTTGTTACGCCCTGGCGTGTGACTAGTCTGGTACGGTATAGATTAGGTAATTAAATTTTTTCGTCACCTTGTCACTTGACGCTAATGTCCTACGCGGTGATGATGTCGTTTGATGACAGAATGCCTGAAAACAGACTGCCTGGTTCAATAGACGAGGATATCAAGGATCGATAGCACTCCCTTGTGTCTTTCCAGGCCACTGTCATTATATGCGTTTCGTATGACTTGAATGTGTAATATTTGGCAAGACAGACTGGCTAAAAAATGCGGTATTATGGCTAGGCGTACCAACTACGTGTCAAGTTGGTTCGCGTGTGCTCTGAGCGCAAATTTGTCCCTACTCCTTTGACAGGTACTCAACTTATGTAAACACACCTGCACTCCCCGCAAAATGTGTATCACTCAGGTTATTGAACCAAGTCATGTTTACAATCAAAGCGATTGTCATTACTATTGACAGGTAGGGTGGAGTGCCCGAGGTGAAGTTCATACATGCGTACGCGTACCTGGCCAGAAATAGTAGTAGATATTGGCAGATATACATTCATTTGCAAACTAATTTTGTTTTTCGAGGGAGATTCACCTGGAACCCAGCTGAACGTCTCGGTTTTAATGTCTCCAGGAGACTGGATGGGCTGCACCAGGCCGCCTCATGTTTCAGTCGCTACGATATTCGAGATATCGCGATACTACTCACAAGGTCACTGAAAACTCCTCGACAGCCCACATTTGAGGAGTTTTCAGCAACCTTATGAGTAGTGCATTACAAAAATATAGTAGCAGATGTGTCTTCTAGCCTTAAAGCGACAAACACTGCACGACGAACTTGGTATTGTGGGATATCAACTGGGTAAGGAGACTTATCAAACGTCCCAACTTGATGGAAATAATCGGCTCCGTCAAGAGCCCTGGACAGCATGCGCAATTCTCAAGCCATTCTGCGTAACAAGTCCCGATGATGGTGAGATCTATTCACTTGTGAATTAAGTTGGAGTTAACGGGTTTTGACCCACCTGATTCTCCCAATGACACTTACTTACCTACTTACTTACCTACTTACTAACTTACTTACTTACCTACTTACTCACTCACTTACTTACTTACTTACTTGCTTACTTATCATTTTTTTTGAGGAGCCTGGTCACAGACATAAAAAGGGAATGCAAGCGATGAATGCCAAAGAGTAACAAACAAATATGGGAGAAAAGAGAGAAATGTCTCATTCGAAATCATGCCAAGGACAGTGAATCCCAAAGTATGTAAAGATTTTGGTATGGGAACACGCGTCTAAAGACCAACAACCAAAGAAAGGACAAACAATGGTGAATGCTCTTCAAGGCGCAGTGTGCGCTAGCACAGTAAAGACTCGCAGATCAGGAACAAAGTGACCGTCATCCTGGGTCTGGTGTGAGATTAAATGGCAAAAATGTACATTCAGCCCCATGTGCCACGCATAAAAGTGTCATAAGTACGCAGGGAGCCCACAATGGCAAGCAAACACAAGTCACTGACTGCGA